GCCCCGCTGCGGGCCCCGCGCCCCGCGCCAACGGCCGCCGTAACGGCCAAAAACGGCCGTTTGGGGCGTATTTCGAGCGGCATGCAAATGAAGCGCTCCCTATTGGCGGGACGGAGCGCCGAGCCCCGCCCCTGCGGCCACGGAGGGCCGCGATTGGCTGCGCAGCGGCCGAGCCGAGCAGGGCCGGGGCGAGCTCAGGCCGGCCCAAGGCGGACCGGCCCGGCCCGCGTGCGGGCCCTGGGCTGGCCGCCCCTCGGCGTTGGCCCCTCGGCGTTGGCCCCTCGGCGTTCGCGCCGGCGGCGCCTCGCCTTTGCCGCCGGCCGTACCCCGCGCCCGCGAGAGCCTCCGGGCGCCGCAGCGACCCCCGCGCTCACAGCCACGGCTGGGTCTTGCCTGCCCAGCCTGGGGGCCACCTCAGCTCCGAAGGGCTCCCGCAAGCGCGCGGTTCCGGCGCGCTTCCAGATCATTCCCTGGTCCCCGTTAAAAAGAAATGAACACAACAGAGTCTGTTTCTGGAAGGGTTTTTTTTTCTTTTTTTTTTTTCTTTTTTTAAGAGCTTCATATATATATTTATATATATAAATTATTAGAATGTGTGTTGGGGCTTGGGAGTGCGTGGGAAACTTTGGGTGTTTTTTTCCATAGGTGTTTTTTTTTTTTTTTCCATGTTTAAGTAAATATATATATGGGGACCAATCGAGATATACAACTGTGAAATCAGACACGCACGCAGGGGTAAGGGAGTCACAAATTGCTACATAAAACTGCCACGTCTAATAGGATGTGCATGAGTTAAAGTACATCAACTGGAATGGGTGAGGGGAAAGGGGCGGCCACCTCGGCGAGGAGAGTGCCAGTCTGCAGGGCTCGCGACCGGCTCGGCTCGCCCAGCGGGGCTCAAGGGGGTAGAGGCTTTCGCAGTCATTAAAACAGTTCTGTGGTGCTTCGCACCGCACGGCCCGACRGCTTCCCTTGAGGCAAGGCAAAGCACGGCCGCCGTCTCACACACAGTCTCATGGTGCTTTGCACCCCAACGGCTAGGCCCAGGCAGTGATGTACTGGATAGGCAGGAGTGGCCGTTGCTGACGGGCCCCCATAATGGTTGCTTTGTATCTGACGGGGCTTTCGGAAACTGGGAAGCCACCCTGGCTAATTCACTAATTCAAAAAGGTTGTGTGTTGCTTTTCGTGTGTGTGTGAGTGTGTGTGTGTGTGTGTGTGTGTGTGTGTGTGTGTGCCACAAAGCCGTATCTTACATCTAAAGTAGGAGAGTGAGGAGGCATCTTTGAAGAAGCTCCATCCGGTTTTGAGTTCCTTCTCGGACACACCTCACAGAAGCAGAAAGGGCAGCAGCGTCATGTACGTGAAGTCCTGTGATGCTCTGCACTGTTTTTATTTAAGACAACTGTTCCCCCAAAAGGAAGGATGGAGCAGCTGCAATCTTGAAGTTCCATCAGTCTTTGTCTTTTTGAGCTCTCTGCAATGCTGGTTTTGTTTCCTTCGGAGCTCTGCTGAAATAATGTACCAATCATTCCATGTCCTTTAGTGTTATTTCAATCCCTCTCCACTTTCTTTCCTTTCCTTTCTGCTCCCACGATGCCATTCTGTACTCTTCATCCATTCTGCTCTTGCAATGTACTGCACTGTAGGATCAGGGTGTGTTACTCTGCAGGTTCCCCTCACCCAGGATTTGGTTGATCAATTGCTCCTCTTAGGAGAAAGACATGATGATGCTGCAATGAGGGTAGGAGTCCATTTAAAGGGGCTTGTCACTTTCTTTCTTCAGGTGACTAGGAGAAAGAAGAACAAGGTGATTGTGAGAGGAAAAATTTAAAAAAAAAAAAGGGGGGGGGGAAATAATTTAGTACTGTGTGGTGCATTTGTTTAGTCTAGTCCCTCATGGCAGTGCTGGCTTGGAAAGTTTTGCRAAATCTCAAGGTAGCAGATGCACCTGTGCACCTCTCCTTTTCCCAGTATGTTTCCCTGTGCACTTGCAAGAACCCCGCCTAGCACAGAGCATCCAATCCTTGTGAATACAYGGTGGGTTTGCAAGGGTCTCGGTTAGCAGTAACTATGAGAGCATGTGTGAAAGAGGCAAGTTTACTCCCCAAGGAAAGGAGCCGGGATCCCATACAAGGGATTAGCCTACAGGCCACTGAACTGCCAGCCACTGGCCAGGAGTGACCTTCCTGAYGGCCAACCCACAGCCGTGCCCCAGCGGCAAGGAGTCCACGATCTCAGAGGCAGGCTCAAGGCTGCAGCGAACCACTTAAGGAGAAAGGCTTCCTGGGTCCCACTTCTGCCATCCTCGGGCCATGGCTGGGTCCAGGCTTGCACCGTGCGGCTAGGGCACCGTGCGCGCCCAGCGCCACGGCGCGCGCCGGCCCCATGCACCTGTAGTAATCCTCCTGCGTGGGCAGCGGCACGCCGTGCAGCGGGTGGTGCGCGTGGAGCCACTGCTGCTGCTCCAGAGCCAAGCGCTGCAGCTCCGCTGACTGTGCGTGCATGGCCTGCAGCTGATGCGCTGCGGACATGGGTGCAGACAGGGAGCCCGGCAGGTCCCTGTAGGGTGCAGCTGCGGCCAAAGACAAAAGAAGGAACAAGTGAATGTAAAATCCCCATCCTAATCCGCATCCCCATAGCTAAGACTTCATTGCCCTTTTCCGGTCCTGCCAGTGAAGAGGGTTTGCCGATGCCTTGGCACTCCAGGGCTGCCCTATGCTACCACAGAATCCTTAAGGTTGGAAGGGACCTTTGGAGATCTAGTCCAACCCCCCTGCACACACACAGACACCTAGAGCACATGGCACAGGATTGCATCCAAGTGGGTTTGGAAGATCTCCAGAGAAGGAGATTCCACAGCCTCTCTTGGCAGTCTGTTCCAGTGCTGTGACAGAGCTCTGTTAATAGTTGGGGCTTGTGACCCCCTCACCCTGCCCACTGCAGCTCTGCTGGTGCTCTTCAGAGAAGACTAAGAGTCCCCATAAACAGGCTTACCAAAAAGCTGGTGGCGCAGCACTTCATTCTCATGTAAGGGGTGAGGAAGGAGTGGGTTGGGGATGGTTCCCGCTGGGTAGGGTATCCGGGTCAGATGCGATCCCGAGGCAAGTGGGTCAATAAGAGGGTGAACAGAAGCTGAAGCTGGGAAGAAAAAATATGAAAAGATAATTGCAATCATAAGAAGCAAAGACAGAGGTGCAACAAGACAGACACAGAAAAGTGCCCATTAGGGGTGGTAGGACTACAAGGCTGGACAATGCAGGGCCATTTTCTTCTCAGCGTATTCCATCGGCCAGCACTGAATTTCATATGAACTAGTACGGCCTAGCTCCATCCCTGTCACACCACCTGGGTACTCAGGCATTTTAACACTCCCTGCGGAGCCCTGTTTCTTAGAGTTGATTCTGCGAGAACCTGCTCAGCAAGTGAGTCTTTACCCAGTACTGTGCTCATATGCTGTATCAGCTGTCATTCCAGTCTGTGCTTATACTGGGGGCTTCCATTGCCAGGTCCCATGAAGTATTCCAGGTCCCATTTCAAGTACTATCTAAGGCTGAAATGCAGGACATTGTATATGACAACTGCTCTCTCCGGGTAATCAAATCACTTGGTATTTTGGACTCGCTGCCCGGATGCTGCCTGGAGGCACAGAGCTGCACTGCATGGATGAATGGGTCTTCATCAACACCCAGTGCCCCTCTGAGCACTTGCAATACAAATATTGCMATACAAATACCGCAATACAAACATGCAAACAGACGGCTGACCTTCATCAGGTCCCACTGGCCTCTCATAATGCTCAAATAGGCACAGCACTATTTAATTAATTTCTATTATACTATTGTTTGGGCTTTGTTTCCCTGTATTYTTGTCACTAAACCTTTTTCTTGCTCTCATGTAGCATGTGGCGATGGAAGAGAGCAAGACTGAACTCGGAAGGGCAGCAGCCTTCCAGCTTCTTTCACAAATATAAGCCAACCTAAAGCCCGTCTTCCATCCCACCCTTTCCCTCCATCTACAGCAAGAGTCATAGGAGGAAACTGGAGCCAACATTTCACTAGGTTTAAGGATATCTTTGAACCTGTTGCTAGCATGGTCCCCATTCTCTCTGCAGACCAGCCCGGGAACTACAGGCAGTAGCACCACCACCCTTGTCAGCCGGTGTCACTCCAGAATTGATAGCATTCCCACAGATCCCAAACCAAAAGATACGGTGCAAATAGCTCTGATCTCAGCTAAGCAACAAACTCACAGATATGGAGTGAGGGGTAGGCGTAATGACCATGGTATTGACCTTTCTTCTGGCTGGAGAGATGGAGCTGGGGCCCTCAAAATCTAGGCACAAGAGCTCTCTTGGGCTTCCCAGAGCCAGAGGGAGGAAGCACAAGGAGGGTGCAGTTAGGAAGCAGAGCACTGCTCCGTACAAGGCACCACAGCTGTGCTGCCCTTTCTACACAGTCCTTACCTGCATGTATAGCATCCTGCTGGTGGAGATGGAGGTGGGAGTGGATGTGGGAATGCTGGTGATGGTGCGGTGTCACATTGAGCATCTGGAGGCGGGCCAGGGGGTCGTTGCTGAGAGCAGCCACCCGCTCCGCGTGCTGGCGCTCAGCCGCCAGGCGCTCAGCGTAGGACATGTCGGGACGAAGGGTAGGGCCGGCTGCCAGCGCCAGCCTCTCCCGCTCCAAGTGGCCCAGCCCTGGGTGGAAGGGAAAAGCGGGATGAAGGCCAGGYGCTGTCTGCAGGCTCAGGCCGCCGTGGCGCGGGAAAGGATCCATGGCAGCAGCTGGCACGGCATGAAGCTGCTCCAACTCAGCTGGCTTGACTTCAAACCCCGGCTTGAGACGTTCACGCAGGTCTCGGTCCCTCAGGTCTCGTTCACGGGCTTCTCGCTCCCTCAGCTCTCTCTCCCGGGTAGCTGGGTCACTGCTGTAGATGGCCGGCACGTTGTAGCCCAGCAAGCCTGGGTCAACAGCACCCAAGGGCACGTAAAAGGGGTGGTTGCGGTTGCTGGGGGACATAACGTGTGGCCGTGCGTATTCACTGAGGGTGCGCAGAGCCGGGGTATCAGGGCCTAGGTACGGGGGAACAGTTGCCACAGCACTGCCCTGCTCAAAGGAGGGGCGGTGGGGAACGGGCCCAAGAGATGAGCATTCAATCGGCCGCCCCTCCTGGGCCATCTTCTGTAAGAGAGCAGAGAAAGAAGCATCTCACAGTCACAGCCCCGAGACAGAGTGGAACAAACATCAGCCCCTGCTTCACTCCAGAGGAGTGAGCACCATCACACCTACCACGCTTCTCTCCAGCTCCCTCTCCTTCTCTCTTTCCCGCTCCTTCTCCCTCTCTCGCTCCCTCTCTCGCTCCTTCTCCTCACGGGCCTTCTGCTCGGCCTCTCTCCGGACTTTTTCCACCAAGTCTGCCCTTTTCTTGGCCAGCTTGGAGCCGTCAAGGGGTACAAAGTACAGGTCTGTGCGGGAACAGGAATTGAAGCCACGGTCCAGGTGYTTGTTGAATCTGAGGACAACAAATGGAGTGAGTCAGTACAACGGGGCTGAGGGAACAGGGAAAGCTGAACCCTGCACTGTGATAAAGGAAGGGCAGAGAAGGTCCATTAGTAGGACAATGTAGGACAGCAGTGCAACAACACCCCATATGCCTGGGACAACCTCCCCTTCCTTGCCCGATACGTCCCCGCTCAGCCAGGCCCCTGTGCAGMTATCCCTTTGCTGCTCCCTGAGCTGGGCTGATTCACAATGCAGGGACCAGCTCGGCTGCAAAGGGGTAGGGAACATACTCCAAAAGCAGGATCCATGCTGCAAAGCTCTGCTCCAAGGAGCAGAGTTGTAGTCCTCTCCTCCAAGCGCCCAGCTAGGTGGGGCTACCAGGGCTGCCGAGCACTTGGGTACTGCTCTAGCATGAGGTACGAGAGCCAGGCAGTGGCTAACCAGCTTCCAGCTCCTCTAGGCTGATACCAGGAGCTGCACCACTCCAGCTGTGCCCACTCTCCAAAGAGGTCTATTTCCACCTGGGAAACCTCAGGAGAACATCCTTTCCTTTCCACTCACTCCCCTTTCTCTATCTTCCCTTGAARTCTGTGTGACTCCCCGTGTTGAGCACATCTCCAGCCGCCCCACCAGCCCCATACCTGGCTGACTGGCTGGCATGGCTGGGAACATCCACCACCTTGGGGGGCGGCGAGGGGCTGCGAGCCGGGGGCATGGGGCTCTCGGGGGGCTCGTACTCCTCCGACGGCTCCTGCTTGATCTGCGCCGCGCTCAGGGGCAGCGGGGGCAGCGGCGGCGCGGGGGCACCCATGCTGCCCGGCAGCGAGGGGGCGGCCGGGGCAGGGGACGGGGCTTTGTAGCCACCCGTCACGGGGGAGGACGTCATGCGGTAGCCCGGAGGGGTGGCCACACGGAAGGAGGAGGCGGAGGACACGGGGGGAGAGCCTGGCTTGTAGGGGGCTGGAGGCTGGAAGGTAGGGACGGGGGAGGACGCGCGCTTCCCGTAGGGTGCTATGGCTGAGGGGGGCACGGGAGGCGACACGGTCTTGTAGGGGGCCGAGGACGGGGAGGCCATGGTGGCAATGACAGTGGAGAGTGTGGTGGAAGCCGAGGTGACGGGCGGGCCGGCACCGTGGGCAGGGGACGGTGGCGGCGGTGGCGGGAAGGTGTACGTGGCTGGGCTCTGACCCTGGGGGTGAGCGCAGAGGCCGGGATAGCTTCCCTGGGAAGAGGCGGAGGAGGCGGAAGAGGAGGAGGAAGAGGAGGAGGAGGAGGAGGAGGAAGAGGAAGAAGGGGCCGCAGCAGCGGCTGAGGGAGCCTGGCTGTAAGTGGCCTGGCTGTGGGGAGGGTAGAGCCTCAGCCCGTAAGTGGCGTGTGAAGGGTGATGGTTGCCTGACTCCAGGCTGTGCGAGTAGCCGCCGGGGGCCTGGGGAGGAGCTGCCGGGGCTGGGGAGAGGCCCGCGCCGCCGCCGTGGCTGTGGTGGTGCTGCTGGGGCGGCTGCTGGTGGTGGGAGCCCTGGCCAGCGAAGGAGGCAGCGGGGGGACGGCTGTAGGGGGGCGGCCCCTGGCTCCACACAGGCTGGGAGGGCAGGGAGGGCTGCGTGTACTTGGGGGGCTGGCTGGACACGGAGAGGCCACTGGGCGGCGGGAAGGAGTGGCCGTAGGAGGCACTGTAACTGGGCAGGGGCTGCGCAGGGGCCGCCTGCGCGTACTGGGCAGACGAGCTGGACGGCGGCAGGGGTGGCGGCGCATAGGGGTAGCGCGATGGGGCCACGGTTTGTGCCTTCTCCTGCCCCATGCCATGGGGAGAGGGGAGGTGCCCGGCCAGGGCCTGCCCGACCATCCCCGGAGAACTGGAGGCGGCCGCTGCGTTGTTGAGCGGGCGCAGGGCTGGCGGGGGAGGCAGATTAGCAGAGACATGGGGGAAGGAAGGGGCAGAAGCTGGGGAGGCAGCCGGGGGGTTGGCTGGGGGCGTCTTTTGAGGAGGAAGCCCCCCAACCACTGATGCCAATGAGATGGGTGTGGTGGGCGGTGGATTGTGCTTGGCACTGAGGGCCTGCTCACGAGCCCCTGATGCTGGGAGCCCCCCCACACCACCGGGAATTTTGGTCCCAACCTGGACAACATTGGGTGTAGGGTAAAGAGGAGCATGGACAGAGGAGGAGGAGGAAGAGGAGGAGGAAGAGCAGGAGGGAGTAGAAGAGGTGGCAGCAGCAGAAGAGGAGGAGGCTGGTGTCTGTGGGGCCTGAGCCTGGAAAATCCTCGAAGCTTGGCCCTCGAGCTGAGAGTGGTAGCCCCCAGCAGCCGGGCCCTGCGGGTGGACTTCAGCTGGGAGACCAAAGCTGGGCTCAGGTGGACGGGCCAGGCTGTCAGGAGGAGGAGCTACAGGAGGGCTCTGAGGAAAGAGGGGAGGGTGGTGGTAGGAATGGGACGGTCCCTGGGACAACACAGAGGAGGAGTCGGAGTCATTCTCCACGCTTCCGGGGCTGTAGACGCTTGGCGAGGTGCTCCTGTTATCCTGGTCAATGTCCCGTGGGTCACTGCTCATCTCATCATTGAAGCTGTGGCCATCAAGGCTGTCAACGTCTGATGGGGATGGAGGACAGGGTAACTCCTGAAGCAGAAAGAGCAAGAAAATGTTATGCAGCCTTCCAGACCAGGCACAGCACTTTTCACATTCCCAAAGATGTTTCTTTTTCACCTTTCTCCTCTAGCCCCAGCATAAAGGAAAGTACACAGAGGGAAAGAGAGCTCATTTGGCCAGGTAGCCAGGCTAACCAGCACTTTCCCTCTGAGCTGCTCCTGGGAAACTTCAGGAACATCATGTACTTAAGAGAGAAGGTGATGATGGGTGTCTTGTGTATGTAGGCAGTGAGGGAAGTGTTGAAGACCGGGCTGAGAAAGCATCTAGGAGAGGTCTCAGCACTGCTGCCAGCAAAGGGCCTTTGGGAAGGTGCTACCAGCAGGTGGCAGACAGCAGCACGCACGAGATAACGGGGAGAATGTGCTCCAGCACAAGGAGCAAATCCCAAAATGCTCCATTTAGTCAGGGCTTCCCTCATCACATCCTTTCCTCAGTGAGGAAACCCACTCCGCTTTGGCCCCTGCCTGAATGTCAGCTCTCTTTGCGCCTTATTAGGGGGGTTGATCCCCACTGGTCCTCTGTGTTTCCCATTACCTGCTCTCCCTCACCATCTCTCACTACCATCAATAAAGTGATCACTGATTAAGCAGCTAATATGGACAAGTAACAGGGTTTACAGGAAAGGATAAAATGGAAAGGGTCATTGTTAAACTGAAAGAATGTCCATATAGAGAAATTATATTGGTATAACTTGCAATGGTCTAATTATACAGACATCATAAGACAAGTAAATATACTTGCAACCACAGGCCTTTGAAGCTGATTTCCTGAACAGGCGAACAGGGAACTGGAAAGAACTGAGTTTTCTTTCAGCTGGCTGATCTTCGATGCAGTTCAGTGTTGTATGAATGTCAGAAAAGCCCTGCCAGCATTATGGCAAGTAAGTTGTTTTTGCACTCACTTTAGGATTGGTGTTATCGTTATCTGGATCCCAGCATGATTTAAGGATCCCCGTTTTACACTATTCAGCAAAAGAGACTGAATCTGCATTGCCACAAGCCTGTGTGTGGAGTGAGAGGAGGGAGGATGAGCACATCTCACATCTGCTGTTCATCAGCACAGGCAGATTCCCTGCTGGGAGTAACCAAGTTCCTGCTATTGAACTAGGGAAGACAGGGTTTGCACCCGGGCCCAGGAGTTGAGGAGTCCTGCCCACTCAAGGACTAAGGAACAGAAAGTTTCTGTCTTCTAAATCATCACTCCAGGTAGATTTTTTTTTTTTTTTTTTTTTTTTGTATGCCAGACAGATGTCACTTGCATTCCTCCTGCCTAAAGGGCTACCATGAGAAATCTAAGATGCCAGAATATGGGATTGCTGTGGCAGCCACACACAGGCCACCAGCACGGCAAGAATTTCAAGCCAGCTGGAAACAAGCAGTCCATACAGGAAAAAAGGAGCATTTCTTTGCCATGGCTGCAGGATATGCCAGTGAACACAGCAGGAGAAACTCACCTCAGTTTTGCTTTTTTTGGGCGCATTGCTGTCTTCTCCCTCACTCTCTGAGATCTCTTCTGTTCGGCCTTGCTTGGTGCCTTTGGGGGTGCAGGATTCCTCCACCCGACCTTTCTGTGAGGGCAAGAAGGACAGGAAGGTGAGAGGCTCACAGGGAAACGTCCCTCTCCTGCCTGGCCTGTGCAGATTCTGCCGCATGAGACACAATTACCATGACACAATGTGCTGAAGAGCTTAACAGGCAGTGAGGAGTGGTCAGGATGACACTGAGATAGAATTTGGCAAAGAGTAACACTAGAAAGGGCTGCTGAGACTGAGGACTTCTTCTGGGAAGATTGATGSAAGTGCAAAATGCTGAGGATGAGAAGAAGGAATCCATCCCACCCACTCCAGGTAGCTGAGCCCAGACTGGATCCCACAGCGGATCCCACTTGGTCTGCATAACTGGACCCTATCCGACCTGGGAGAATCTCCGTCACCTCTCACTCACGTGCTCACTCATATTACCTTTGTTGCTTGCCGGGATTTTTCGGCTTTGCCATCACTGCTGGAGGTGCTGACGCCACCTGGGGACGCTCGACCCCGTGACCTGAGCTCCTCTCGGGGCCCCGGAGTCTCCTTCTTCCGCCCGCTCCGCATCGACATCTAAGAGGGAGACGGCTGAATGAGTGCGGCAGCTCCCCCAGCCCTCCCTAGCTCCCCAAAGCCCCACACCTGGGGGGCACCCTGCTACGCCAAGCTCAAGGTCACAACAACCTCGGCCCCAAGCCCAGCTCTCGAGTCCGAGTTCTGCCCCCACCCCCGTCTCACGCACCGAGTCTTTGTTCTGTCGCGTCTTCATTCTTTTGGGTGCGGGGCCCCCATTCTCCTTGGTCCGGTTTGATGAAAACATAAAGTTTTCTCGCAATATCCCCCCCGCCTTCTGCTGTTGCCTGTGAGACAGGGACAGGCAAGAACAGCTCTTCTGGAAGGCAGGCTTACAGGAGCAATGCCRCAAGATCCTGGTGAGTCCTGAAAGGTAGACAGAGAGACAAAAGGTGAGAAAGTGAATGGGGGCATCCTTTTGTGGCTTGCTATATAACAAAATTATTACTGTTTTTTTAACTATTATTTACAGATGCAAGGATCTTTAGTGAGCAAGCAATAAACTTTCCCATTATTAGGATAAAATATTTGGCCATTGCAATCTCTGATTCACTACTTCTAGGAGGGAAATGCACACGATGGGAGGCAGACAGAAATCAATAACAAAAAACGGAGGAAGCAGGGAAGAATGGGTATGTTGATTTTCYTCTGACATCATTTTAGCATTTCCATTTCCTTATTTATTTGATCTCCAGAGAGAGAGAGAGAGGAAAAAAAAAAAGGTGTTAGAAAACTGCTTTAAAATGTTGCTAGTGACAATTTTGCTGACTTGTTGTGCTCCTCTTTGCACCTGTTGTCAGCACAGTGGTTTCATGATCCTTAGCTGGCCATGTGCTGTCATTAGCTGACTCTGCATAACGAGGCCCTGGAGGCCTTTGCTACGAAAGCATTGTTGCAGCCCTGACCTATGCAGTGCATAACGCACACATGCACCAGCCTGCGTGTCATACCGAAATGCTGGCACGGCTTGCTCAGGCTGTTCCGTTTCAGAAATACATAAACAGGAAGGAGAAAACGCATTCGGCTTTGCTTTCGCATGTCACAAACATAACCGGCTCTGTTTCGCTTGGGATATCTCCACAGATCTCATTCCTCCCCCTGCTCTGGGCTGTTTCTCAGTACACCAGATGGTGTCCATCCCAGAAATGCAGAGAACATCCCTGCAGTTTGCAACAGCAGGAAGATTTCAGAGACTCCTCTGAATAAACTAACAGAGCGGTGCTATGTCCTGGAAGCACCACCAATATTTGGCACTCTGAGACGTCACACAGCTCCTATTTCAGGGTGTTAAAGCACCATGAATATAATGCCTGGGGACTGGACGGAGCTGATTCAGGAACGCTGCTTCTGGAGCTCACTCACTTGTGTCTGGCTCCAGATACTTTGCACTGCACCAGTGTAACCAAAGAGAGATGCTACTTTAATGAGCTCCTCCCTCTACTTGCCCTCTGGAATGGACAGTCCCAAAGACAGAGAGGTGTCTTGTCCTTGCGGTATCAGGAGAAAGGATCCACACCTCATGATTTATATTGCGGGCTCTGGAAGCACTGGGAAGTTTAGAGAGTAAGACTGAGAGTTGGGTAGCGGGGCAAGGCAAGAGAAGCCGGAATTCAGCCCTCTGGGAAGGGAGCTGCAAGTGTCAGGGCAAAAGCAGTGCAAGGGAGGGACCCGGCTCTCACACGCAGCCCTGTGCTTGAACTGTGTGAGCCTGAGCTGCTCACTGCTCTCCTCTGCCTCCCTTTCGCTGTCTGTAACACGGGAATAACGATACTGGCCGGTCTCCGGTGGGGTTCCATGTCTTCCCTGACTAATGCTTACAGAACCTCATATAAAACGTGCTTGCAAAGAGCAGGAGATTGTYTGCTTTAATTTCATTAATATTTTATTTGACCTCACCATGAAAGCCGCAAGGGACTCATCCAGCATTAACTCCTACGCACAATTCATTAACTTGGACCTCTTCTTTAACAGAAAAATCAGCTCGCATTGGTTTAGACCTCATCTTGTGGAACAGCAGCACCCTCTAATCCCCACAAACTGACATCTTTCACAATSTTGCATTGCTGGCATAAGTTGGTCCTTGGTTGCTAATTCAACCCATTACACTGATGCTATTTTCTCCTCCAGGTAAGTATCAASAATTAACATTTCTGACACAAAACAAACATTATGGAGAAAGACAATCCTAACTTAACACAGCCTCAACACACACCATGTTGACAGTCTTCAGAGATTAGCCCAGCTCTGCCTGAACACACAGAATTAGCAACAACATATTACCAATGTTGCCACTCTCATTTCACATTCAACAGTAAAGCCACCTACAAGGCACACACCTAAGGGCATCACCACTCAGTGCACACATCTCACTTCATCTTTCCAGTAATCCAGTAATGGCAATTACGGTCTTCTTTCCAGAGAAATATTACGCAGTTAACCACATGCCCAAACCTCCTTTTTARCAGAAATACCAACTCGGTCCTTATGTCAACTGCAGAACGCCCAATRCCAAACAAAACCAGGAACAAAGAGGCACATTTCAGTAGAGAATAATAAACCACGGAGGCAGAAACTTTTATCACTTACAAGGTGCTTACGGGGTTAAGTCTTTTCTAGAGCATTTCACAAAATTGAACCATGTGTTATTAGGCTCAATAAAGCAACTGTTACCCCAGAGATCATATGAGATGATAAACAGAAGTAAACAGCATGAGCCTTAATTATTACAAACAAAGCACCAAAATTTGGGTTATAACCAAACCTCCCCATCACCTGAAGTCCTTGTAAAATTGTCAGAAGAATTCTTATTGACACATGGTTTTGGGAAGAAAATGAGACACTTGGCAGTGCTGCTGCTGAAGGGGCTGCCTTTACGGGGTCTTGTGAAAATCTCCGCAGGTTGGCTTGACTCACTGTGAATGACCATTTTCTGTTTGTGCTTCACGTAAGCCAGCTTGGCTTGGTTTGCTGCCAAACCCGCTCCGTGTTCCAGCGAGAGTGCCGGCACTGTCTCCCATTAGCAACAGCCACGCAGCAAGGACCCTCGTGGGGGATCCAAAATGGATCCCGCTCTTTTCCCAACATGTTTTGCAGAGGAACTCTTCACAGGTAAGAAAACCAGGCACAAGAGTCCAGCCTTACTGAAACGGACTCAAGTCAGATCTACTTAAGTAAACACCTTCAGTCTCTCTTAGGAAGGCTGACAAAAGCTTGTCCCTGGCTCAGGACACCATTTGCATGTTAAACCATTAGACTGGGTGCCTGAGAGAAAGAAATGTTCACAGAAGGCCAAAGAAGCAGAGGAAACAGAAAGGGGAGATTTGACAACGTTCGGTGTGTTTCAGCACGGGTCTCCTAAACGAGGAGCGAGTGGCTGGGGCTGCTCACACAGGCCCACTCAGCACACGCTACGATCTGCAGGGAGGTAACTTCCAAAGGGTCAGGGAAGTCTGGGAGCGGYCCCCAGAATCCACCGTGGGCCAAAGATTTTTGTCACTTCAGCCGGTGCCGACGCCAGGACGGGCGGCGCGGGTCCGGAACAGCGCTGCGCTCGGGAAGGCTGAACCCTCGCCAGGTCCGAGCAGCTCCTCCGGGGGACAGCGGAGCAGAAGGGACCCTGAGGGCCCCGGGATCCCGGCCACTTAAGAAGCTGCTGCTTCCTTACACTGTGACTTRCTTATTAGCACGTTTCTATTTTGCTAATAAACAGCTAAGCCCTGATGCAGGTTTTGCTGAGGTTAACCACGAGGTGATCAGTTGACAATTRCTGCTGCATTTTCTTCCCTTCCTTTTCCTTCCTATTTCCAATTCCTCTATTGGGATAAAAAAAAAAAAAAAGGCAAGTTTTTCCTCTTGTTCCGTGCCATGCCTGACCCTCTGTGATACTCCGCAAGTCCCGGATGGATGCGGACCTGGTCCAAGCAGGAAGGAGGGCACAGCGGGAGTCACGGCCATGGGACTGTGTGAKGCAGCTCCAGGGCCCCTGGAGCCCTGGTGATGACTTGGGGGGACTTGGGGGACGGCGACAGCACCAGCGCAGCCTCCTCTCCCCCCATACACCCAGGGATGTGTGATCCCAAGGGGCCTGGATGGATCATTTAGCCTCAAGCAAGGCAGGACTGCAAGACACCACCACACCTGAGGACCGCACGTGCTGCGAGAAGGGGCCTCCTGAAGCGTCTGCTCTCTTAAACCAAACGGGCTGGGGCCTCTTCTCGGGGCCTAAGGCGGCGGGCACTACGCAGCCTGCACCCATAGGGGACAGTTCTCCCGCCCTGCAAAGCGGGACGGCCACGTCCAAACTGGCCCTTGGGAACCGTCTCACGCTCGTTCTTACAGCGGTCTGCAGCATTGTCGAGGATGCTGGCAGAGCTGCCAAAGGACAAAGACGATACAAAAGAATGCCATGCTAAGGAAACGGTACAGCCACCYGTGCACCTGGACTTGGACCCAGGCACATCTGCTACTAAAGATGTATTATCTTCCMCTTGGAGTCCAGTCTGCAACAAGTAAGTTTCCAGTGAGGAGCCAGTTAGGTTTCTCCTTTAGCTTGAGTATGGATGATCTAGAATTCAAATCCTCTCATTTCGTTTATTTTTCCCTTAATGGAAACTGTTAAAAGTACACAGTGAATATTTCTTAGGTCATCTTTTTTAAACATAGGAGCTACATTTATTGCACAGATTGCAAGATTGCAAAGACAGGGACTCAGAAGTTTAAAAATGTAATAACTAAACAAAGACTCTTTTCTCTGTACTTCATTAGCTCTGTGTTCACATCCCACTTTCTTTTTCTTTCTCCTCCTGCACAAGGATAGAAGGGAGTCACTAGGTTGGTAAAGTGAACACAGCCACCCTCTGACATATCACAGATGCTGGAAAGTGTCCTGAAAGTTGGCTGTGATGATAACCCACTGATCAGCCATTGGCAAGTGAAGATCCCATAGGGATGAGTATCCATCGGAGCAGGATGGTCAGGGCACACGCACTTGCAGCTGGGAAGCCAGCAGTTTGCACATCCCAAACTGCCCCAGTGAGTGGTGACCCCACGCAAGAGATTTTTAATTCTTGCCTCTGTGCCCCTCATCTATAGAAAAGGGGAAAGAATCTCAGAGATTTACCAGAGTTAACAACTCTGTAGCATCTTGAAAATACAAAGTTTTATCCAAAATCTTACAACCAACCCACCTGATATACRGCATTCCCTAATTGCTAAGTACCTGACTTCATGCTTGAACCCTAATGTTTTACTATAGGTCATGAAGAAGAAAGGGAGGGAGGGAAGGGGAAGAGCCAAGTTCTCAGTGTTACATGGCAGAAAAGGAAGGGGCCAGAGCTCAGGCTGCACGTCGCAGCCTGACACTTAGG